CAAGAAACTCGAAAAAATTCATCTACATTTAGATCCAGTGCCTTGCTTGACGTACCAATTGTCTGACGTGGAAACGATTTCAGGCCCAGACTGTTTCCACGCCAAACGTCCATTAGAAACTCACAGTGATAAAACTGGTCTTTATCGTTTTATGTAAGCTTACCTAATGGTTACGTTTTCAGTCCTCCTATACCATCGTCCTCAGGTGTGTCATCTCACTGTTTTATTTGTCGTTTTGAGGACAAATCTCAAGAAGAAAAATGAAAAAAAAAAGTATGAACTTGGGTCATACGGTTCAAACAAGCTCTATTTCAAGCTCTATATTTACAAGCTTCATTTCACATCAAAATCTTGAATCGAAAATCTTTTTACTCGCTAAACCAGTGGTATGTTTTAGTCGATGAGGATATCAGTTTGATGAACAACTACTACTCGGTATTCGGCCAAGGAACTACTGTACTACTCTCGGCCAAAAAGCTAAATTCGTGCGTCGAAAACTGGACGGACCGTCATGAACCCGTTATGCTTGCTCATAAAAGCCTAAATTGGAAATTGCATCCCCCAGTGCTCCTCATCATGAAAAAGTGTGAGAAAGGCTCGTCCGGAACACCAAAAAATAAATTTATGACGTTCTCGCAAGACAAAAGTTCAAAACTACATTTTCTTTTGCTTAGCAGTCTCTAAATACCGTCCGCTTACAACCGTATTCTCCGATCCAAACGATCTCGAACACTTAGCGCCGAATCACTTCCTACTTAGTCACCGCACAAGTGACTTTCCGCCTCTAGATTTCGAACAAAACTCCCATAATCGAAAGCGCTATACCCGAGCGCAGTCCTGTGCAAATACCATTTGGATTGGTTGGCTACGCGAGGAAGTACAAATGCTTAAGAAACGAGCAAAGTGTTTTTTTTCTCTGCAGAATCACAATTAAACAATTTAGAACTCAATTGGATGAATGAGGACAATAGCACAAGAGGCCATACTCCATTAGCGCGAGTCAAATCGTTCAAACAAGGTTAAGATAGCATAGCGCAGTCCGCCGTAATAAGATCGGGTACACGCGTGCATTCGTGAAGTTCGAACCCGTGCTCGCAATATTTGGGGCGGAGGGGGTTTGTGCATGTTAACTATACGTACGTGTTATATTGTTCCTGTAACCTTGGATTGGAGCATTGTAATTTGTCTTGGAACCTTGAATTGGTTTTGACTAAAATTGATGATTACAATGTTGAATTATTGGGAAAGTGGGATTGAAAAGACCTCGATTGTTCTGCACAAGCTGAATACAATTGAACTATTTTGACTTTTCGCGACTGTCAAAACGAATATTCTAAATGAGGAAAAAACACCTCAATAATAGCAGAAAAACTATTCGATAAAGATAAATACTTACCACCTACCTTCATGTAATTTTTTTTTAGTTGAAACAAAAACTATAAACTAAGTTTGTCTTTTCTGAAGGTCAATCACACAATCCTGTCGAGAATCGCGTCTTAGTATAAGTCTGGTGCGACCCAGAACCAGCAATTACAACCAGGTGAAACCAAATAACGGCAATTTCAGACAATCAACTTTAAAATCTGAAAAACCTTTTGACTTACAAATTGAAGTTTGTTGAAAAATGTGATTGCTTTAAAATGGATATTCATAAGTTGAGACTAGTTATCTTGTTCATGAATAGACCTAAAAAAAATTTTGTTCAAGCATCTTCACTCTTAAAAAACAAAATTTTCATTGGGAGGTCAGAAAACTTCATTTCGACTATACTACAATCTTGAACCCAGACGTTTAACTTGTTTGATTGATTTGTTATTTCAACCCTAGCTTCAATGTTTAATTCCACTTCTATTCACTGTTTAGTTTGCAATTTTTTTAAGTTTGTTTTTCGTTCTCTGTAAATTACTTTAATTGTTCAATTTTTCGAAAAAAAAATTGATGATATATTTTAATGGGTGGCAGACTCAACTTATTTAGCTGATTTTTTAATAATATTTTATCTAGCATGTAATTTTTTTTGGCATCTGGTATGTAAGAATTGCCATGTAACTTTTTTGTTTTGACACCAACAGATTGTACGGCATTGGAAGTGCAGTCAAGATAAAACTTGAACCTCACTCAAAACTATAACAAAAAATATAAGTATTTGTAAACGGCTAGGAAGCCTCTGTATCGAAAAATTCTAAAGTTGAAAATCGTGGCCTTTTTTTGGACAAATTTAGGTTATTTGTTATCATCTAAATCTGAAAAGTGCAAATTTTGCCATCGTGGAAAACTTTTTTGTGGCCCTTTTTTTCTGTTAAAAGACTGTCATTAAAAGAGAAAATTTGATACGTTTTTTTTTGTTTTTATAACTGGTTTAGCGACTAAATTGAATACTAGAAGAAATTTTCCTTAAATTTGGCCTTTCGTTCGCAAAAAGGTATATCTTGAAATTTTAATAAATGAAATTGTATAATAAGCAATTTTTTCTTAGAACTCAAGCATGGAGCTGTTTAATAAGCGTTTTTGTACGAAATTATCCGATTAGCATTTTTGTTGTATACAGGTCAACCCTGGAAGGGTTTTTATAAAAACATGCAAAAGCTAATACTTCCCTGAGCTCAAATTTATATAATCTTTCGAATAGGAGGCTACATAGTGTAAAACTTTATATTCAAAAAAAAATATTTTGTTCTTAAAATTGCATGTGCGGGTTGGTTTTAAGAAAACTCAAAAAAAATACATTTAGTTTTTTTTTGTTGAAACTTTTATCGAATTCTTTAAAGCAAAACACTAATCTATAGGCCTCAAACCTGAGTCGTTCTTTTCAAGGTTTCACTTTACACGAGCTATTTGGTTAAATGTTGATACCAATTCTGTGTCAGAGTTTCATTCATAATGCACTCATTGCTCCGGCTTTCGAAGAAATGCGGAAAAATTATGCTGGGTTGGTTTCATGTCCGTTTTTTTTGCGCTAATAAACCGTTCCAGATCAAACTGAGGCAACCTTTTTGGTCTTATTAATTTTGTATCACTCAAACTTTCCCATTTGTTTCGATTTTCGAAGAAAGTGAGAAATATATATGCTTGAGCTGGTTTTTAGACCAATTTCTAATATAATAATCGCCCATTTGAGAATCGATCTCTGCATCTTTGTGAGCCCCAAACTAACTTAATTCTATGGTGGACTTAAAAACGAGCCCACCTAAACTGCGCGTTTAATTTTTTGATGCTGAAACGTTGTAACGCGATTTATTTATTTATGCGATTTATTTATGCGATTTATTTATGCGATTTTTTTATACATATATGACTCTATTTTTAACACTTAGAAACTAATTTTGCCAGCCTAAAATTCATAGTTGGTCAATAATACAATTACAAAAAATTATTCGAGATCAGTTTAAAGGCCCTGATACGATCAATCTTTTCCTTTGATTTTGTTCAACTTTTACGGTTTTTAAATATCTAAGTCTTGTGTTTTGTGGTGTTATTGTTTATTGTTTACCAAAAATCAATTTTTGATGAAAAAGAATCAAATAAGATTGGACTCATTTTGGGTGTTTACACAGGGAGTTAAAAAGTGCACAGACTTTTTTCCCACTCCTTTCAGGATATTGTTCGGAACAATCGCTCGTGATTGAAATTGAAAACTATCAAAAATAAACATTAAATTTGAATTTAAAAAGATGAAATTTGAAGTAGCACACCATTTACATGAGGTTTAAAACTATGTCTACAAAGTCACACTATTTAAAATTTATTACAAAAGTTTTGAACTTGTTAAACATATGATCGAGTCATAAATCAAATTTTTCAAAGCAAATAGCTGAAGGCACTTTTTGAAATGTGTGTTTCAAAATTAAATCTTAATTGTAGTTCATTGGACATTAGATATTTTAGCTTGAAATAGCAAACATTTTTTTTCAGAATTAAGTAGAAAAAAAAGGTTTTTTTTTTCTGTCCGACAGATTCTTGTAGCTTCAGACCATCACAGCGTGGCAAGATTCCAGATTTTGATGAAGTTCGATATCTTTCCGTGTCTTAGCGGAAAGTATATGATGCAGCTAAAATACAAAAGCTCACTTTAAATACCAAGATAAAAAGAACTGTGAAAAAGCAAACAAAATTGATTTTCTTCCGTAAATTTGAGATATTGGTAATGATCGTTGATTGATTGCAATCTCTAGCTTCATATTTCTTGTCTAGTGGTAATTTTATGTTTTAATTTCTATATAAATTTTGTTTCACTCTATCTAAAATAAAAAAAAAGATTCTGCTCGGATTCGAACCCTCGATCAACTTACCAGGAGTCCTCGCGTAGGGACTGCCAGTTCTGGTGGCTGAGTGCAACTTCCTGGCCTTCTGTGCTCCTGAAAACATACCAAGTTTGTTCACGTACAGGTCATTCGGTTAATTAGACAGATTAATAGTTTTAATGGTCACCATTATTAATTGATATTAACGTGTTTCAATTTCTCAACTTCAGTTAAGTAAAATAATCCAATATTACTCGTCAGTTAATTGCAAATGAATTTAAAATGACAAATGTCGACTTGATCAATTAGTAATTAATTAGATAAATTATTAATTTTGACTATTAATATTCACAATGGGTTTTTGTTTCTGAAGCGTCAATTCGGGTTTTGTTTCGACACGTAAGCGCAACAGACGGGTATAACAGGGTTGAATTGGCAAAGTTAATGACAAATAACTTGAAGTGTTTTCCTATTTAAGCATTAAAACAATCCTTCAGCAACGACCGAATTAATTTTTATTTCGAAGCTCGTTTATTTCAAAATTATAAGAACAAAACAGTTGCTAGAACATCAGAACTATTCTTGTTCTGGCTTCGAGAGGGAAATAGGTCCAGATTTCTCTAAAACTTATCTAAGCTAAGCTATATGACCGGCATACTATTTTCATTTCGACATTCTCATATAATTTGAAACATAGTTCATGATTTCATTTTCGGTTGGCCAGTGTCGATATTTCTGGAGAGGTTCAAAATTACAAAGTTGGAACAAAATTTGGAATTTATCATATTTTTGAATTTTAATTGCATTGGAAAATCATAGTTTATTTGAAATAAATAATAAATTTTTCGTGTAATAACTAAAATCATCAAAATAATAAACCAATTCAATATCAAATCTATACAAATTTGAGAGCACGTCGCAGACGTGCAAAGTTGAGACTTCTACTAAGTTTGAAAATGAAAGTTTTCAGTGTGAAACCGATTTGGTGTAATAACATTAAAATATCTGAAAGTGACATAATTTTGAGTTTTGACTGTGGATGTGGAACTAAGTAATTAAATGAAAAAGTTTTAAAGTTTGCAACGATGAATTTCTTGGCATTTCTCAACAACCAGCGCAAAAAATATAGATTGTTTTTTAACTAAAAACCAACATCAAATCAAAATTCCAAGTCAAAACATTTTGAATTTTTTGCGCGATTGGCGAGAAATTTTGAGTTTTGGGCGTAAAATGAGTTGATTTTGCAGTTTAGTTGAGTAAACATGTGTAAGTAGTCGACACAGTGTGTAGTTCACGTGTAATGGTTGTTGGTCAGAGGTCAAATCAAGTCAGGTCAAAGGTCAAAGCAGTTCAACTTTTATGTGTCAGTTTTGTTTGCTGTTGTTGTTGTTGACAAAATTAGCGCTTTTAGTACACGTCGTTGTGTTGTATACAGCACCGCGACTACTTTCCGTAACCCGAAATCCGAACAAAATTCGATTCGGTTTTTAATTTGAAGATGAATATTGTCAGTGGCTTTAGTAAGCTACACTGTACAATTGTTTGCCTGCAAAACAAAGACATTTTTTCGTTGTTGTTATTTTCTTCTTGTTTAGTTTTGGCCATATTGATGATTGAAAACAAAAAAGAAAGATCATCACAGCGTGTTATTGTATTACCAGCATTAATTGTAAAACCATCTTTCGCCAGCCATGGTATGTTTAAGAAACTAAGTAATCAATCACTAAGTTCAGCAGCAATTAAAGAAAAATATTACTAGACAAAAACATCGATGAGTGTACAGCGACGTTCTAACATCATCATATAATGGCATGTTAAAATATCGCAAGCTGTCTATAGTAACTTGAAGCCAGATTCGTAAACCAATTTTGATTAACAACCAATTTATTATCGAATTAACTGATTAATGTGGCGTCGGTAAAAATTAAACGGATTGAGCATTTGAATTAAGTTTCAAGATGGATTCAAGATTTAAGGAAGTTAATGTTATCTAGAACAGAATTTCTTAATAAGAGTGTTTGGTAAATAAAATTTCGTGGGGTTAACTAGATTTACCATTATAAGCCAGACTAATTCAGTCTTTTTACGGTGATTGTCGCTCGATTCAATCGAAGTCTGAAAACCACAAATTTGAACAACTTTCTGAAAAAAATTACACAAAAAAAACAAAAGGGAATTTTTGATTGTTCCTTTCTGTTTATAGTTGAACACTTTATTTTGTTGAACTGAAATTAGATGGTTTGAATAAGTAAACTACGTGGAAATGCCACCATTGGCATATTTTTGGATTTAAACTCACCGAAGCTTGACTCGGAACTTCCGGCCGCGCCTGCTCCGATGTCGCTTTGTGATGCAACTGGAGAATTCGCCGACAACAACCCAAGTTGAATCATCGACTGAGGGTCATACCCGGCAGCTGCGGCGTACAGAAGACCCGCGTCGGCTGCTGGGCTTTGAAGGCCACTAGCTTGTAGGAAGGCGTTCTGGCTTGCGACTGACACCGGGAGACTAGTCGGCAACAAGTTCGTAACTCCGAATCTGTTCATTCCGTTCGCTCCCGAACCACCACCGTGACGAAGTGAGTTTCCGCCAATCAGAGAAGCCAAATTGGCATTGTTCAATTGGGCCAAAAGTGTGGCCTGGTCCAGACCTCCGGCGCCTGTGAGTCCCGTGAGTCCTGCTGGAGATCCCGCTCCAACTCCGGCATTTGGGTTGAATCCCGGCAACAAACCGGCGAGTTCGGGAAACACTGCTAGCTGTTGCGCAGCTGCGGCTGCGTGTTGGTTGTTCATATGGTTCTGATGGTGGTGGTGGTTGTGATGATGGTGGTCTAAAACATATCAATATATAATTTAAACTTTCGCAATTTTCGAACTGATTTTGTGTTCAAAACTGATGCATGCGTGGGTGAGCATGCCGTAAACAAAGCTTGTGACTGAAAAGTTAGACTCAATATTCCAGCTGTTTCGCTCAGGCGTTCAGATCAGACATCGAACTTTGGTGTTGGTTAGACTGTTTAATTCTTTTCATTAACAAATTTTTCACGAAACAGTTCATGAAAAACAGGTTTTCCTTTCTAAGTTTTGATAGGAATTTTTTTAAATAAGAATCATGTAATTTGAAATACATAATACTAAAACAAGAATTGGGAGCTATGACTGAATCAAGTTAAAAACTGGTTTTATTGATTAAAAATTGAGTTTTGTTTCCAGTTGTGGGTTTGCAAACACACGAATCCCAGACAACTGTTTACTCAAATTAATCCAACAAAACCCAGCAGAGTGGGGGCATATTTCAAGGCGAACTCTGGGAGAAATAAATTGCACTAGTATTTGTTTTGAGTTTCCATGTGTTTTCATTGTTTGTTGATTGAACCTTTGCCACTTGCGCAGATAACAGAAATTCCTATGACATACCAAGTTACCGAATTCCAACTTCAAATCCCATGTTATGGATTTTTAAACAGAGTTTAAGTTTCGACGAAACGAACCTTGGAAATCTAGAAAGCGTACAACATAGACATGAAATTTTAGAACCCCAGGGTTTGGGTTTTACAAAAGCGTAGGGGACATTATGACGTTCTAACATAAACCCAAATTTAAAATGTTAAAGGGATTTTATACGTTTCACTTACTAGCAAACTATTCGCGCATGTACATGTGCGAGACATATGTCATAAAATTAGTTTACCAGTTTTGTGAAATATTTGTTTTGAAAATAACATTAACTGTTGTTCACAATTTCATGTTTAGTTTCGTTTCCAAAATGGTAATTGATGACCAGGTTTCAAAAGCCAGAAGCACCTAGACATTCCTGGAGCTATCTGGCGTAACTTCTAATCAAGTGAAAATCCCTTGAAAGTGCAATTCATACCGCATTTTTATGTTTTGGAATCTTTGAAGTACTAGGTCTAAATACTTTACTGAAATCTGGAGGTGAAAATTCATGTCTTTATTCTGCATCATTCTTAGATAAATTATAGAATCTGTTTCTAATTTATTTCTACAGTGCCAGCTGTTTTGTCGGGCCATATATATATATATATTTCAGGTAAACTCTTGGTTATTCATGAACCCCGAGTTTTTTGGAACAATTTTAGTAAGGTCGGGCAAAAATAGATGCTGTAAGAAAACTGGCAAACGGAAGGGGGGTGGTGCTTCTAGATATTTGGCAAGCCAGAACTAAGGGGATCCATGCCCATTTTTCCACATTATAGGGATAATCGTGAAAAATATTTATAATATTTAAATTCTTGTTTACGCTGCGAATTAATAAGAAAAACCAAAAATTTTTTGAAGAAATTGTAGACTAAACGTGAATTTTTTCACGACTGATGCAGTTATCAGTGATCGATTAGTAAGAAGCCATTTTACTTTATGAAGATGGATGGATTAGCGTAATAAACAGGATTTTGGTTAGAATTAACATCCAAGTTTTTTCGGTCGCTTTTCTGGAAATTAATTTCGAAAGAAGTGTTAGATTAATTGTGAGGCTGCTGAATTGTTATTATTAATTAAGACGATGAGGGTTAATTATAATTAGTCCAGACTAGATTAATTAGGCGGCTGGGTCAACTTCAGATTTAGTTATTCATTTACATGTAGTAGCCTGATACTAAATCACAGAATTACTTGCAATGGAAATGAGCCTCTATTTCCCGTGAATCTTTTAGTCCATTTCATTTCCCTCAGCTTTAAAACAAAGAAAGTTGAAAATTTGTTAACTTCATAAAATATTTTTAAAAGCTCGTCACTATTTCCTAAAATTTATACTCTAAAAATTGGGTCATATTCAAAAATCAGGGCCAGTTTCGGCTTTTTCGAGCTGGGCAGAATTTATAGTGTACTCAGTATTTTTCAAAATCAAAATCACAGGGACTGCTTTTGACTTAGATGAGGGTAATAAAAATCTAGAAATGCATTTAGGGATTGGGATTTAGTCGATAGTATTGATTAATTCCATTTAACTGTTCTGCTCCAACTGGCGCTAATGAAAAGTCATAAAAAGCAAAATGAAAAACTGGTAAAATCCACGCTCGAAGCCATTATCATTATTTCCATTTATACTCCTTCTTTTCCCCATGGAGTTTGGCAAGCATTAAAAAGTTAAAGTCAAATCCCTTGGGCAGATAACACGTCAGAATAACAACAGCTAAAGTAGGGGTTCCGATAAAAGCAAAATGCTTTGTTCTAATGAAAATTCAAATCCAACTAATAATATAACTGTCCAAATTAATTTGTCATTCAATTTTTACACTGACCGAGCAAAAGCCCACATCTGCGGCAGAATTAATGCACAAAAAAAATTGAAAAATGTGAGCTGGAGCTGGAATCGAACACTCCACCTAATGACTACAACTCTGGACTGTTCTGCGACTACTAATTCTTACCTTGAAGAGGGGAAGTGTTATTAGATGCCGTTTCTTCCGAGGCTGCATGTAATAGATTAGTAATGTGAGATGAAATTTGACAGAGAAAAACGATTATTAAAGACAATGTTTATTAGAAGTAACACTCGTTATTGTTAGTTTCGATGAAAAATTCCTCTAAGATTTTTTAAAGATTTATTGATTGCAAGACTTCAGAAATTAGCTTACGTTTAACATTGTGAGTTTCTCGATAGGTTCCGTTAATCACAGCTAGTCCCATTAGCTGTCGACGCTTGATTTCATCTTCACCATCAGGCTAAAATCATATTCAAAACTTCAATTTTTCGTCATCATTTTTGCACTCATAAGTTGGATATTAACACCTTTTGTTCAAACCCAACAAGAGCAATTATTTTTTAAAATATGCACTAAGTAAGCTAATCTAAAGCGCAACATCAGATAAAAACTTTACTCATCATTGAAAAAAATTTCATGCCAGTGCCAGGTTGTTACACAAAATTCGAATCCTTGGGGAAATAAGGAAAATTATGGAAAATATTGAATAAGAACAACACTTAAGTACCACAACTTGTCCCTTCTATTGCGCAATAGTTACGCAACACTCAGAATATTCAATTCTGTAATGGTCTCTTTGCAATTCTAATTAGATGAACGAAATATTCCAACCACAAATCTTGAAGCCCTTCACTGCCCAGTTGCAAAAGACAGGGGTTTATTTATCAGAGGAATGAAATTCAATTCTGGATAAAAAGCCAGATAAGGAATTCAAGATTAAATTTATTGCCAGGCTTAACTAAGCTTTAACTTGCCCGTTGCGAGTCTTGGAACCCCTAATGTTGTGACGCTTGCAACAAAAACAACGCACGGGAACTCTTTGTGAAATAGCCCGTGAAATAATCACGACAATAGAAATTTAAAAGTGTGGTTTAAATTTTATTTCACGAATTTAAGGCATTTTTATTCCTCCGTAAAAACAGAAATTTGGGAAACCACTTTGTGTTTCACGTGTCAAAACACAATAAACGTGTCTGAAAACAACCCAGCTGTTATGAAAATACATAAAGCGTTGAACAAATGTGATTCCTTAAGGAAGTTGGGAATTATTTTGACTGAAACTCAAATTTGGTCGACATATCAGAAAAGTGGAAGCAATTAACTTGACTACGTTTCTTTTACTGTTCCAGATTTATTTTATGACAAACACCTGCTGAGAAATGTGACAAAGTTTCAAATTCCAGACTAGAGAGCTTAAGGGTGCCAAAAAATGGCCAATAAAAAACGGATCAAAAACTGTCAAACTTCAAACGCTATTGTAAAGGGTAGCTGGTTGCTGCGCAAAACGGGCAGAATGTTTCCACGACGATAAATAGTCTAACTAATTTTTTGAATAAATAATCGAATCATAAAAAAAACAAATGGGATCAATTGAGCAATCTCCCCCCGTATTGACCAATTGAGCTATCTCCCCCCCCCAGCAAAAACAATAAAACGCTACAAAAAGACGTCAGCAAACGTAAGTACATGGTTAATGTGTTCGTAGCACGCAATCAATTGACCGAGTGAAATTATTTTCTATGAGTTTTAAGAAAAAAAATGAAAAAGAAAAAATCGAATTTTTTTCACATTTTTTTTGCAAATTTTTGTTTGTGCGACCATGGCCTCATCGAGCAAAGCGAATTACCAGCGTTGGTGCTCTAGCCTTATATCTGAATGTAAGAAATTGTTCTCCGCAGCACAATAAAATTGCTGTTTTTCCGTTTAAAACAGAAAAATTGGGCTTTATGCAACCCAAGTTGCCTTAGTTTTATTGATTCTTTTTTCACTCTGAATGTAATTTTTGAGCTTTGATATTGTAAATTTTGGCGTTCCACTATCGTTGAAGAAACTGATTTATGATTTCATATCATTCAAACAATTTTGAAGTGGTTATAAACATGTCTCAAGTACCTATTGGGCTATCTCCCCACGCGAGAAAAAAAATTGAAAAATCTAAGATAAGTCTTGGTCTGTTTTTCAAGATTAATTTTAAAAATGTTCTGATATTCGAATACTTTTCTCATCTTAAGTAACAAGTTTTTGCTCTACTGGCTCGCCTAACTTGTTCATGGCTCGCCTAACTTGCTCTTAACTTAAAAAAAGGTCGAAAAAAATTTTCAAAATTTTTTTTTGAAAGTCCGCCCCCTCCCCTCAAGAAAATCCTAGATCCACGCCTGGTCAAAAAAATCATACAAAAAAATTAAAGTAACTTTGCATGATGATACAAATATATTTTTACCTTTGGATCGAGTAGTTTTTTGATCTCCTTGATGACAGCCTCCATCCTCACTTCGCCCCTGTTGTGTGTGTCCTCACACTGGATCAACACGTGCAGCTTCTCATTCAGGTGCTCAAAGTTAGGCTTTCCCTTCAACTGCTCTTCCTACAAAGCAAACTTTCAAAAAATATATTCCTTGATTGTCCAGTTCAAAACCGATTAGTTCGGACAATATTATTTCCAGTTAGTGTGCCTTTCAGACGATTTCAAATTCACCTCAGATAATTTCAAATTTCACCTCAGAGAAGCTTATTTGAAAATCTCAGTTGAGTCTAATATCTTGTGTCAGCCACCATTTCCATCAGTGCAAAACTGGCGGAAATTCCTCTGAATTTAATTAAATAATTTATTCTAGTGAGAGGCTAGTTGTCCAAAATGCATTTTCCAAATTACTACTTCCACTTTCTGGTTCAGGAGAAAGGGGAGTGTGAACAAAGAATGAACAAAGGGGGAGGAAATAAAAGGAAAAAAGTTCGCCTGATTCAATGCGGCAGCTCAGCACCAATTTGGCTCAACTATAAAAAAGGATTTTATATTTATTCAGATTTTTTGGTATAAGTGCCAAGTCAGACTCTAATGTTTTTAGAAGCATCTTAAGTAGTAAGTGTATTCTGTTAATTTGTTTATGGACGATATTACTTGTTTTCATAATTGCCTTAAAAATATGATAAAAATTGGAGATCACCTCAACACTGAAAGAGTTGAAATTAATGGGAACCTGAAGAAAATCTTTTTAAAAAAATACTTTTTGACATAGTAAAAATTTTTGCTAATCAATTTTTTTTAAATTTCTTGACAATGAAAAATTATCAGAATATTTGTTAAAACTCACGTTTGATTAGTTAATCAAACTCAAAAGTTGGATGCAGCTATACTTACACCGTGTTAATTATTTCTAGGATGCAGCTATAATTTTTTAATTATTTCCAACTTGTGATGTTAGCACTGACCTTTTTCTTGTCTCGCATGCTACCCTCCCCCCTGACCATGATCTTGCATCCCGTGAACATCTCAATGTCCTTGGCTGTCGTGCCCTGGGGACCCAGAATCCTACCCACAAAGTTGAACTGAAATAAAAGCACAAAAGTTTAAAATCACTATTATTATTGTTATAAAAGCTGCGAGTCAATCAAACATTCAATAGAAAAGCTGTGAAAACTGGCTAGTAAACAACTTTTATTGTAAAAACGGTATAAATTAGGGTTCTAGGTAAAAATCCCTCCCCCCCCCTCCCTATGACATCTACTAAAGAATCTTCAACCCTATAAATGAATACATTAAATTAGCACTAGAGCTTGTATTGAGAATTCGAACTTTGCTGCATTCTGATCGGTCGAAAAATCGACCATTTTGATCTACTTAACAATCCCCCCTTTCATGAAAGGGGGAGGTTGTTAAGTATATTCTATATTCGTAGATCAATTTTTTCAGAATGAGCGGGATTCGAAACCTTGACCGTCTGATACTGAATAAGTCTGTTTTTTTTTATAAGTGTGATAAAGTAGCATAGAAGGTGACTCACATTAGGGTATTTGTCTACTGGCACGAATATCTTCTCTGTTAGAGTGACTGTGGGTCCCTTCGGTTCTGGCAGATCCAGGGGCTTCCTGTCTGTGGCGCTGCAGAGAAGATTCTTCACTTTGTTGATTTCTGAAATAAATCAAAATTTAAGAGCTGGTTGAAAACAAAAACAATTTCAGTGTCGTTTAAGAAGCGGTAGTTTTATAAAATTCTATTCGTTCAGCTTTGTTTTGAGGAAAAAATGTTTGGAAAAAAGCTGTATGGGTTAATACTAAGTAACTATGCAACCAATAAGACACATGTATCATCACTAAAATGCATTAAATCATCGATTCTTCACAAATGTAAAGTCTAGACGTCTTAATGGGCTGGCATATTTCATGGACTCTTGATTTTTCTCAAGAAGGTGCTTAAAAAATTCAAAGTGTCTAGTCAAGTACCGAGAGGAGGTTTATCAGAAGAAAGTCATACAAAAGTCCACACACTTTTTCAGAGAAAAAACATGAAAATTACTTGAGTAAGTCGTTTTCAATAAAACAAAATATCAGAAAGCTTGTACCAACTTTTGTGGCTTTGCTCAGTATTGCTAAGCTATTATACTATATATCTTTAGTTGTATAACGTTTGCCGAGTTACTTAACGTGCAATCAAAACTACTCAGCTAAGCAGTGCGATCAGATATGAAGGCCTCTGAGCTATTTGAAGAATTAATTTCTTGGTCCACACACCGTCTTTGCAATAACATATTCTGATAAAGTATTACCTAGTCGACTGCTTAATTTCTGAGTCAGTGCCATGGCCTACTAATGACAAAAATATATATTTCTTTCAGAGGAATTTGTCCTGAAGTGTTATGATAGAAAATATATATATATATCCATTTGTGTATGGGCCCACTATAGCACAAAGTCATTTTTTCCTCTCTATTATAAAAATCCGCAAAACTATGAAAAATGATATCGTATTGATTGGTTTAGGTGACAAACTTATAACTTCTTTGTTGCTCGCGAACCCTCAAAATATTCTTCAGGCTTTTTGGCATCAAATGAACTGGACCAGCTTTCTATTAATGATTAAAGGGCACAAAAGTCCAGAAAAAAAACTTAAAAGCAGATTTTTGGTACATTGCAAGAAATTCTCGTACGTTTTCCCAAATACTCCTTGAAACTCACAAAAATTACGAACTGCTAAAAAAATTATCGAAAACAGAAAACCTTTCGCCTCTCTCGCGTAATATTAAATCAGTCGGGTTGAATCAGTCGGTTTAAGCAATTGTTTTCTGTTTTCATAGTTTTGTGTAACCTCCGACATTCAATCATGAGAAGCAAAAAAAGAAGAAAATATTCCAATTAAGATATCAATCAAATATAAATCTAAATATTGAAAAAATAAGGTTTTTTTTTGAAAATATTGAAAAATAAGGTTTGCAAACCTTCATCTAGGAGTCGCTCGCAGTGTAGGAAGTAGTTGGGAAGATAGGAGAGATTCTTCTTGTCTCGCACTAGCTGGTTGAAGTAGTCTGCAATGTTCACCGCGTTCGACCCTCCTCCGCCTTGACCCGGGTGGGGGCCCTGGTGGTGCGGATTCTGCTGTTGCGGGGGACCCCCTTGGTTGCCATGGTTGCCAGCACCTTTCGGCATCTCGTTCGGGTTGTTCATGCCGTTCGGGCTTCCGTTTCCGAGAAGGCCAGAGTTGTCGACGCCCGAGCCGTTGTTCATGGGAGAGTTACCGCCATATGATCTTGGATCCATTTTAAACTACTTTATTCTTTTTTCTAATAAAACTGAACGGGGATTTGAAAATAATAACGAAATGAAATTAGAAATTTAAAATTTGCGAATAAAACAAAATAGTAAAGACTATTGCCCAAAATGGAATTTTGCAAAGAGGAATTTAAAAGTAAATACTGGAAGTCAATCAGCAAGTTTTTGTTTACTACAGTTGAAATGAAATGGCAGCTTTTTTTAAGAAATCTTGCTTACTTGAGCTAGATTTGATGACTAATAATTCGGATGAAAAAATGTTTGCAATTTTTGCAATTTTTGGCAATTTTTCGCAGTTATGATTAAGCGGTCTCCGAAGGAACTTAAAACTGAATGGTAAGGTTCCTAGTTTTCAAGTTTAAAGAGAAATTAAGAAAATATTAATGATTTTAATGACAAAAACGGTTACAGTAGTAATTAAACACGGCAGCACTGTAAGTAGTTAAGAAAACAAGGTGAATTGATTCGAGTTGGTAATGCTGGTTATGGTTGGTTATAATTGTAATTGCGAAGTTAGAAAAATACCGAAGACTGATAGCACCAAACGCTGGTTAGAGAAGTATATATGTACTAGCTGCTATTACCACCACTGGCTAAAATGGTCTACCCCGGTTCTCGACTATGATTGGCGCGGCACCTTTTTCAACTCTGTCTTTGTTTAAACGCGTTTAATATACGCTTGTACAGATTTTTATAAATTATACAATTGAACAGAGCAAAACGCAACTGAACACCGGATAAATGTTGGACTGTTCTGCTAGTTATTGAAGTGAGTTTCACTTTTCTGATATCGCCGTGTAAAGAGCTGGTCTACCGGTGCTCCAGTGGTTCTTGGCAACGTTCAAGAATTGTCCAACAGAGCTGAAAAGTACTTGACTAGTTTGTATTTACGACTTTCTACAATAACTTGGACGTCGATGGCTTCGACAACTCCGCCAGCTATTCTGTCTTTTTGACTGAAGTTTGGCAATCGAGTTTGCAGATTCAGTTTTCGTCTGCTTGACACGTCGATGTGATTGACACGTCGGAGATACAATCGTATGACGTTTGGATCCCAATATCGGGGGGATTAGATATTAAACCCGGTTTTATTAGTTTTAGCCAGTTTAGGTTTGGCGCTGGGGAGTTCGGGTCCAGATATGCGTATGCAATTTTGGCTTTCAATTCAGAATAACAATCTGCGCAGTTTCTTAGGAACGTTTCCCAATAAATTTCTACCCGGGAATTTTATATATTGTCTTTTCTGGTTGGGTATGAGACGAGAGAAAACTACGTAAGGTTTGGTTTGGCGAATAGGTTTAGTTAAAGTTTTGAATTTTAAACTCTACCTAGTTCAGATAAGGGAGACGCGGCGCTAATTTTGAGTTCTATAACTTGACTGAAACAAGGCTGGCCAAGCATAAACAAAATACAAAACTACAGGGAAAGTATTTATTTAACTTCTTGTTTCCTTCAAAAGGTGGATTTGTGCACAAGTCCTAATTCGAGATCATTAAGAAGTCGGTATCAAATTTTGAGCGCCAATATCAAAAATTTTGCGTTATGTTGCATTTTCTTTGCAAAATTAAATATTGGAGATCATTTTTGATCTGTCTCAAGGAACTGAAAGTTATGAATTGTCTGCAGTTCTGCGCCATTTATTATTAATAGGCTTAGCTTTAATATCAGGGCGGTTTTAAGCTCAGTCAATCACTAGACTTCTCAAGGGCTCGACAAATTGGCTCGTCGATTTTTTAAATTATTTTAATTTGACGCATTATTCATATCATTCAACCAGACTGCTGAAAAAATTTCATATCTGGTCGCAAATAACTACCTGTTAAATCATATCAAAATTGAGTTGGTTTTGAGTTTTCTAGTTTAAGTGATTTCTAATTGATTACATTTGTCTAGTAAATAAACACGCTACAACGCATCAGATGTACAAACAACGCATACAAATAAGAAAAAGACCATTTTTTATTCTCACAAAAGAAGCTACAATTGCAATTAAATTGTCACTGCTGGTTTTTGCAGCTCGAGTTTTGAAAAATGCTTGACGATCTCAACACCACTTAACTTTGTTTTTTTTTCTTCTCAAACTTGCGATCATTTACGTTATAGAATCTCCAAAATTTTAAATACCATTAATAAGTGTACCGTGATAAAAACCAACAAAAACTCAACAAAAATTAACAAGAAAATATAATAATTTTTGAAGATTTTCAAATCAATTTAAAGCAATAACAATAAAAATTGTTTTATTCATGATCATTTCGCGCCCTGGTGATAAAATAAACGTAATATAGAATTTATGAATTATAAAGTTTTGTAAGAATCATGCCGTAAAAATTGGATCAACTTTTTGCAAGCTCTGAAAATATATTTATTTTAATCAGCCAAAAATAAATAGGAGTATTCTTTGAAGTTTAGTTTGTCCTTGATGAAATAACGTTGTGAAACAACAATCCCGGTAATTTTGTCTAGGAGATGATAAGAACCTTACAAGTTTGCATTTCTCAGGTTGAAATCAAGAACAAAAATTTACTCTTTTTTCTGCTTTAGAAAACCTAAATAATGAAAAACTTCAGCGACAAAAACACGATGATGTTAGACAGGGGTGTATTTATAGGTTCGAAACCACAAGAGCCAAAAGCGTCCCCCATTTGATATTTTTTCTGACAAGGAACCCATTTTTGATCGAACAAAGTATATACTAATTTTTTAAGTGATCAACCTTAAAAAAGTTTTAAGAATATGTTTTCTTATAAACATAGAAAAATTTTGAAGTGTTCGCGCAGCGAAAAAACAAAGCGCATTTCTTTGGTCAACATTTTTAAAAAAATGCCCTAAAAACGTAGTTTCAAAAATATAAATGTATCTGCGAAGCAGAAATTTTTAGAGGAAATATGGTCTTCATATTGTTTCCCTAAATCTCAAAAACCCATTGGGCCAACCTATAAAATCGATATTTTTGATTTTTTTTTTCAAAAATCTGCCTTCCCGCTCAAAATAATTTAAGATCTACCCCTAGTGCAAAGTGGTTTTTTTGTAAATTAAATTCCCAGGCCCGGGTTGAAATGCAGACAAGGAAAATGCTTTTATATGGAGTATAAAATTTCATATATGAAATCTATGGAAAAAGTACTTACCATACAATTCTCATAGAAGAAAATTGTATGATAAGCCTTTTTTTCAATCCATTTTTTTTCGAAAATAACCTTAAATTGGTTTTGGACTCAAGCAATACAAAATAGTGTCAGTTTCGCTTAAATGAGAGCGACTTTGGTATAAAAAAATAATTTTGAATAAAAAAAAATTATCATTCAATTTCATATACGAAAAAAGCAATTTTGAGGGAAAGATTCTTATTATTTTTTCGATTGCAAACTCACTACTGTGCTCAAATAAATTTTATACAAAAAAAATTGCTCGCAAAGTTCGACATCTTGTGTCTATAAGGTAATCTAGGTTTAGTTTTTGACCCAAAAAAAATCAAAAATCACAAGCGTGTATTATCTCATTTTCATATGAACCTGGAAAAACTCTTTTCTCATCCATCGAAATTTTTCACATCAAAATTTTCTAGCCATATACAAAAGTTAATTTTTTAATATCTGGCTTCTTGGTTATTGTGGTTTTGGATAAGAACACAAAGTTTTGAAACATTTTTTTGCATTTTCTTTCATGAATAAAAAATATATATCAAAAAACTCCATAGAGTAGGGAAAAAAGCTTATCATACAATTTCATAGAAATAAAAAATGTTTTTGCTGTATTTACAAAATTTTAGGATAACAACTGTGGCAAAATATTTTTATTTATTTCCAGAATGTGACAAAAACATTGTTTTGAATTGCTTATTTTGCTATTCTCATACAATTTCTTTTGGTCTATGAAATTTTATGAAATTGTATGGCATGCATGTTTTTTATGAAACCGGTTTGATGAATTTATTGAGCTATTATTTTCAAACTTATAGTGGCTCAAGTAGGATATACCAAAAAAAGTCTTTTTGTTTTAGTTAGGATTAGGATTAGTTTTAGCCAGTTTAGGTTTGGCGCTGGGGAGTTCGGGTCCAGATATGCGTATGCAAATTTGGCTTTCAATTCAGAATAACAATCTGCGCAGTTTCTTAGGATTGTTTCCCAATAAATTTAACCCGGGAATTTTATATATTGTCTTTTTTGGTTGGGTTTGAGACGAGAGAAAACTACGTAAGGTTTGGTTTGGCGAGTAGGTTTAGTTAAAGTTTTGAATTTAAAACTCTACCTAGTTCAGATAAGGGAGACGCGGCGCTAATTTTGAGTTCTATAACTTGACTGAAACAAGGCTGGCCAAGCATAAACAAAATACAAAACTACAGGGAAAGTATTTATTTAACTTCTTGTTTCCTTCAAAAGGTGGATTTGTGCACAAGTCCTAATTCGAGATCATTAAGAAGTTGGTATCAAATTTTGAGCGCCAATATCAAAAATTTTGCGTTATGTTGCATTTTTTTTGCAAAATTAAATATTTGAGATCATTTTTGATCTGTCTCAAGGAACTGAAAGTTATGAGTTGTCTGCAGTTCTGCCCCATTTATTATTAATAGGCTTAGCTTTAATATCAGGGCGGTTTTAAGCTCAGTCAATCACTAGACTTCTCAAGGGCTCGACAAATTGGCTAGTCGATTTTTAAAATTATTTTAATTTGACGCATTATTCATATCATTTAACCAGACTGCTGAAAAAATTTCATATCTGGTCGCAAATAACTACCTGTTAAATCATATCAAAATTGAGCTGGTTTTGAGTTTTCGAGTTTAAGTGATTTCTGATTGATTAAATTTGTTTTGTAAATAAACACGCTAAAACGCATCAAATGTACAAAAAACGCATACAAATAAAAAACAGACCATTTTATATTCTCACAAAAGAAGCTACAATTGCAATTAAATTGTCACTGCTGGTTTTTGCAGCTCGAGTTTTGAAAAATGCTTGACGATCTCAACACCACTTAACTTTATTTTTTTCTTCTCAAACTTGCGATCATTTGCGTTATAGAATCTCCAAATTTTGAATACCATTAATAAGTGTACCATGATAAAAACCAAAAAAAAACTCATCAAAAATTAACAAGAAAATACAATAATTTTTGATGATTTTCAAATCAATTTAAAACAATAACAATAAAAATTGTTTTATTCATGATCATTTCGCGCCCTGGTGATAAAAATAAGTATAATATAGATTTTTACAAATAAATAATGTTGTAAGAATCATGCCGTTAAATTGGATCAACTTTTTGCAAGCTCTGAAAATATATTTATTTTAATCAGCCAAAAATAAATAGGAGTATTCTTTGAAGTTTAGTTTGTCCTTGATGAAATAACGTTGTGAAACAACAATCCCGGTAATTTTGTCTAGGAGATGATAAGAACCTTACAAGTTTGCATTTCTCAGGTTGAAATCAAGAACAAAAATTTACTCTTTTTTCTGCTTTAGAAAACCTAAATAATGAAAAACTTCAGCGACAAAAACACGATGATGTTAGACAGGGGTGTATTTTTAGGTTCGAAACCACAGGAGCCAAAAGCGTCATCCATTTGATATTTTTTCTGACAAGGAACCAATTTTTGATCGTACGAAGTATATACTAATTTTTTAAGTGATCAACCTTAAAAAAAATTTAAGAATATGTTTTCTTATAAACATAGAAAAATTTTGAAGTGTTCGCGCAGCGAAAAAACAAAGCGCATTTCTTTGGTTAACATTTTAAAAAAAAATGCCCTAAAAACGTAGTTTTAAAAATATAATGTATCTGCGAAGCAGAAATTTTTTTTCGGGGGAAAATTGGTCTTCATAATGTTTCCCTAAATCTCAAAGACCCATTGGGCCAACCTATAAAATCGACATTTTTGATTTTTCTTTTCAAAAATCTGCCTTCCCGCTCAAAAAAATTTAA